GGGGGGGGGAGGACACTGCACTGTTGACAGGAGGTGCTGCAAAGTTGCATTGTAAAGGTAAATACTGGGAAAAGTGAAGAACTGTGGTAATTTTTGTAATCAACCTACCACAAGGTCATCTCACCACTCAGTGGACGAAGCCCTCTTCCTCTAGGCCAGTGATTTTTAACCAGTGTAATCCAAGAATTTTTAAAACATGCAATACCTAACTCTAGTCAGGGGCACTGACCTCTCTTCCCTTAGATTGTCAATTAAAAAAATGACAGCCAGCACAATAGCTGTCCGGTGTGAATGAATCAAAATTATACCCTTTCTTGGTCAGATCAGCAAAAAAATATACCATTTTTTGATGTGCCTCAGAATTTTTGTATAATTTATGTGTGCCATGTGATGAAAAAGGTTGAAAATTGCTGCTCTAGGTCTTCTCAAACTTTCACATGCATCAGAACCATCTGGAAGGTCTGTTAAAACATTGCTTAGACATACCCCCAGTTTCTGATTCAGAAGGTCTGGCGTGCCAAGGAAATGCTTTTTAAATAGGTTTCTGAATGGTTCTGACATTGCTGGTCTGCAAACCACAGTTTGAGAACTACTCTAGACCAGTCCCTCCCAATGTGTTCTGGATTTCACTTACCCCCACTTTAATAACAATTTTGATTTTTCCTTTTTTCTTTCTCTTGTTTTTTAGTGACTTTGCTACTCAGAGTGAGGTTTGTGGACCAGCAACATCAGCCTCACCTGGGAGCTTGTTAAAAATGCAGTGTCTCAGGTTTATTGGGTCAGAATCTGCATTTAACAAGACCTGTGGGTGATTTATGTGCACATTGATGTTTATGCAGTACCGCCTGTGGATCATTTTCATCAGCAAGCGAGCACGCATGCTCATTTCCTCTTCAGTGTCCCATGTTAGTAGCTGGCACCACCATTCATGCAGCTGCTCAGGTTAAGCAAATTACAGCTCTTGATTCCTCCCTCACATATCCTGCATCTACTTCATGAGCAAGTTGTGCGGGATTTTAGGATTATATATCCTGTACTTCACTTCCACTGCTTTGATCCTAATCCAAGATGCCATGATCTCTCACTTGGACTAGTGTTGCAGCTTCTGACCTGGTCACCCTTGCCCCCTGCAGTTTGTTGTCCTCCAATCGTTCCCAGTGACCCTTTTAAAGCGAGATCATGTTATTCCCTATCTCAAAATCCTGCAATGGTTCCCATCATATTTCAGATCAAAACCAAAGTCCTTGCCCAGCTGGCATGGCTCAGTGGTTGAGCATCAACCTATGATCCTAGAGACAGTGGTTCGATTCCTGGTCAGGGCACATGCCCAGATGTAACGCTCGATCCCCAATAGGGGGCGTGCAGGAGGCAGCTGATCGATGTTTCTCTCGCATGGAATGTTTCTATCTCCTCTCTAAAAATCAATAAAAATCAATAAAATAAAAAATTTTAAAAAGAAGGGAGAGAAACATCGTTTTGAGAAACACTGACCAGCTGCTTCCCACATGGGCCCTGACTGGAGATCGAACCCACACCTGGGTATGTGCCCTGAGCCAGGGATCAAACCTGCCACTTTTTGGTCTACAGGACAGTACAACTGAGCCACACCTGCCAGGGCAAGACTTATACTCTTAAAACTATAAAATACTACTGAGAAATTATAGACAACAAAAAAATTCATGGATTAGAACTCAATATTAAGTGTCAATTCTCCCCATGGCCCTAATCAAAATCACAATCACCTGTGTGTGTGTGTGCGCGTGCGTGTGTGTGTGCGCGCAGGGAAAGGGACACAGTGAGGGTGGGGGGGAATTGACAACTGTATTCTATCATAATGAAATGCAAAGATCCAATATAATCTTTACAAAGTAGAATAAAGCAGTATCAGCAAATAGACAAATGGAACTGATTAGAGTTAAAAATAGATCCACACAATTTTTTTTTCACAAAGGTGATGGCTATTCAAGGGGAGAAGGAAAAATTTTCAACAAATGAAACCCTTTGTGCTGGATTAGAAGTACGGAAAAAATGAAACATTGACCTCTACCTCACACCACAACAAAATTAATTTGAGATTATCATAGACCCAAATGTCAAAACTAAAAACAAAGACTAAAAAAAAGAATACCTTAATGACCTAGGAGCAGACAAAGATTTATTAGAGGACACAAAAAGCAGTGAATAGAAGAAAAAACTGATAAATTAGATTTCACCAAAATAAACGTTTGCTCAAGACACCTTTAAGAAAATGAAACATAAATCACATACTGGGAGAAGACATTTGGGATACATATATTTGACATTGGGCTTGTTTCCAGAATAAATAAACTTGTAAATCCATAGTACAAACAAAAACCACTCAGTCAGGCAAAAGATTGGAGCAAATGCTTCACACACACAAAGCTATAGAAGTGGCCAATAAGTACATGCGAAGGTGCCCAACATCATTAATTATTGAGGAATTAAAATTAAAACCACAAAACCTATAAAATTATCTAAAAAAAAACAAAAAAAAAACCACAATAATATACCATTTCACACTAACCAAGATAGCAAACAAAAACACCTGACCCGTGTGTGCATTTACTGGATGTGTATCTGGTGGAGCTCTCTTACTCCACCAGTGAGAATGCAAATGGTAAGGCTGTTTTGGAAAACACGCGGCCGTTTCCTGTAAAGTTAAACATCCACTTACCCTAGGACCCCACACGACCCGGGAGAAGCGCCTCCACTGCGCACGTTTTCCAAAACTCAGAACTGTACACTTCAAACCTGTGCACTTTATTGAAACAACGAAAGTTAAAATGAAAATCCAAAAAGCAATTCCCAGGGGGCCCCCTTCGGCCCCGCGGGGTCCGCGAGCGCCCGCAGGTGGGAAGAGCGGGCC